TTCTTCTAATAACCCAAATGGTAATTCGGTTTTAAATAGCACTTCAGATACCACGATCTTGTTGATGCAGAACAGTGATAGATTTGGGTGGCAGGGAAGAAATGCCTGTTTTTAATATTGTTTGCACTCATTTTTCATTTTAAAGAATTAGTCCTCATTGAAGTTCTGCAGGTTAAGCATTTTATTTGAGCATTCTGATTAAACTAGAACCTGAGTCAAAATGAGTTCTTTGCTCAGTCCCTCTGTGTGGGAATTGGTATTTCTATTTATTACCTGATGATGAAATATTAACATTTTTTCCCTCTAAATAAATGCCTCCTCTTAATGGCTCTTGTTTGCAGGGATCAGATTAAATTATAAGATGCAATTTAAATGGCCGTTGGCTTTCTGCTATCTGAGATGATGGCATGTTCTCTATTATATCATTCAGTGGGCATGCAGGGGACGCTAATAGTGTCCAAAGTGAAGTAAGTGTTCTATGCCCCAGAGACTTTTCTCTCTCTTAATATCAACTGTCATGGGACAATGTTAAAAAATGAGATCTGGGATGGGACTAGTGGTCATGGTTGCTCAGAATAGATGGGTGTTCTCAAGGCTGTGGGGAGGTGGCCATCCCCCAGGTTAATGATGAGCTACCAAATGGAGGAGGAGGAGGGAAATGAGAGACAAATAATGATAGTAGCTGAGGTAGCAGACAAGTGAGGCGGAAGCATGGGACAGATAACTTGGCAGGAGTATCCGAACAGAGCCGAATGCTGGGGTGAGATATACTATGCAATTGGAAGGCATTTTGAAAGAAAACTACCTCAAGGCAAGGCTAAAGAGAAGGCAATTCTGTCTCAGTGAAGGGAGGAATTCTCTGGAGAAAAAAATAGACTGGAAGGGAAGGAGGAGGAAAAATGGCTTTCAATTATCCATGTTATCTTTCCCTACCAATCATTACAGATGATGAATAGGTGCAATAAAAGCCAATATTCAATTTTTCCAATTTACATGGAAAGAAGGCCATAATATATTGTTAAGGGGAAGAAATAGCAGGTTACCAAACAGTGTATATAATATGATCTCATTTTTGCAATATATTTGTATGCATAGAAACAGTCTGGATGGATTAATACATAAATGTTAACAGTAGGACTACAAGTGATTTTTATTATTTTTCCCATCTATATTTCCCCACAATTAACATGTATCATGACTGTAATAAGGAAAAGTCATTATTTTTAAACTTCCTTATGAATCATTTAGATTCAGCCAATAAATGCTGACTACCCACTGTGTGTCGGGCATGAGAATTAATGCTTTCAGAAAGGTCAGCACACTATTACAGTGGATTTCGTTGATAAACAGACTACTTTTCTAGGCTGGTTTACAGAAATTTAGACTCTTAAGAGGTAAAGGGCTGTTGGAGTTCATTTAATCATTACATTTTTTAAAATTTATCATTTTAACCATTTTTAAGTGTCCAGTTCGGTGGTATTTGGTACATTCACAATGTCATGCAACCATCCCAATCCTCCGTCTCTGGGATTCCTTCCTCTTGTAAAACTGACACTCTGCACCATTAAACAATAGCTCCCAGTGCGGTCCGCCCCGCAGCTCTGGCAATCACTATTTTACTTTCTGTCTCTATGAATCTGACGACTCTAGGTACCTCACATAAGTGCAATCATACAGCATTTGTCTTTCATGGCTGGCTTATTTCATAACATCTTCAAGGTTCATCATTGTGGCATATTGCAGAATTTCCTTCCTTTAAAAGGCTGAATAATATGCATTATACCATATTGAAATGATAGATACACAATAAAATGTATGTATCACATTTAATCCATTCATCTGTCAATGGACACTTGGGTTGCTTCCACTTTTGGCTATTGCAAATAATGCTGCTAAGAACATGGCATACAAATATCGCTTTGAGATCTCGCTTTCCATTATTTTGGGTATCTACTAATAATTAGATTTTAATACAATCTCAAATTTAAGATCAGGGAATATGCCAGTACTATTCCTGAGAGCAGAGCATTGGTCTCTGAGTATCTGCAGGGCAAGGTGCTCACCAGCTCATGAGGCAGTACAGTACAATGGTTAGAGATCATAGACCCTGGAGTTAGACAGAACTGGGTACAGGTTCTTGCTCCACTCCTGACCACTGTACGGCCTTGGAAAAATCAACAATCTCTTTAGGACTGAGTTTCTACCTCTGTAAAGTGGAGATTATTTTGTCTATCCTATTGGGTGGCAATAAAGGTTAGTAAGATAACTTACCAAAAATACTTAGTACATAAAAAATGAACAATAGAAACTATCAATATTCAAAAAATTATTTTTTGTAAAAAGAAGGATCTCATAATAAACTGACAGCTGCCTAATTAAAATGTCTATGCATTAGTTCACGTTCTACCTGCTAGTAAAAGCAGAGACTGTATCTAATGGACTGTCTCTTGGTTGAAGCTTCAGATTTTGAAAAGATTTCCACTGGAAACTGGCCTTTGGGAGAAAGGAAGGCCACTTTATTTTACATTTGTTTATGGATTTATGTGCAGGATATCTCCTCTGCATTTATAAAGCTCAAGTATCTGCTTGGGTGACTCCAGTTTTTACTTCTCCAAAGATAAAAAGCAAAATTTTGTTTTCCCAGAAAACTTCCTGTAATTCAATTAATACCAATTTCAAGCCTTATTAACAAAAGTATCAATATAGAAAAAAAATACAAGTTTGCCTATCAAATTATTAATCTGCAGACCATGTTCATATTATATTTTTTAAAATCCCTGTAAAAATTCATTTTCTTCACTGTTTTCTCAAAAAGGAGCTTTTAAAAAAGTATATATTTTTATTATCTCTATTTATATATGTCTAACACTTTAAATGGTTCCAGAAAGTGGTTTCTTTCTTTTTTAAAAAAAAAGAGTTAAAATATATATATATACCATAAAATTAAAATATTTAGAGCACACATACTTTTTACCTTGTGAGATTATACATATATATGTGTATATATATAAATATATATATATATATATATACATATACATATTTTTTAAATGACAGTTGCATCAGCAGTTTCTCACAAGACAACTGGGGATGGCTGTGTTCAAGCCAAACATGGCAGGTGTCACTGTGATAAAAATCATTTAAGCTGCTGTCCATATGATGCCAAATATTTAACGGAAACCAAAAAATTCTGTTCCAGATGCCAATACTGGGTCTACATGACATCATTCATCCAGATGCGTGAAAAATCTGGATTTTTAAGAATTGAATTTTTGTGGTCAACATCATGAAGTCCCAGTGTATGGGTTAAATAAGGCATTTGTGAAACAAAGCCACATTGGAATAGAATACATTTTGATTACAGATAAACATTAAATGGAACACAGGGTACAACTTCGGTGCTGTGAATCATAACTTATATAAAAAATACTATGTAAAATACAAACAGAACATTTCCAAACTGCATTTTTGAGGTTTCTGATGAAGTAGTCTGAGCACCACTGGGGCTCTGAGAAAAGAAAGCAACGCCATTAAAGCCACTGTCTCCAGTTCCCCCCTCCCATTGAACTCGAACATGTGAGCCCAAAGTACAAAAAGGAATCTTCTTCTATTTTAATGCATTTGAGGTAATTATTCAAATTCACCAGTAAACTGTCTGAAGGTATGGGAAAGGAAGCAATAAACTTGAACAATTTTATGGGAGGGACTTGAATAGGAGATGTTAATCCCAGGTGCCACAGACCGGCCTGTTTCAGAAGAAACAGCAGAAGTGGGAAATTCAAGAGTTAACCTTCTCCCTCCCCTTTTGTTCCCCCTCTCCTCCCAGCTGCCTCCTCTGAGGCTGTACTTTCTGTGACCCTGCTTCAGTGTAAGGAAGGCTTCAGATGCAATGCAGTTTAACCCGTGCTGTCGACACAGCAATAAACTAAAACCCTTTACAGAGGGAGCAAATGAACCCAGGAAGGCAAATCTAGCCCACTTGCAAGCACCTGGTCAAAGATGAGTAGCTATAAATCTGGCATCTGGAGATTACACACCCAGGCATATATATGCACAAAAAATCGTGGAGAAATTTTTTTCAACCACCATGCTGAGAACCTCACAGAGAAAGTATTTTCTTTATGTCAATTATAATAATATATGGTCACATTCTAATTAGGAAATCAGAGAAGAGTTTCTTTCAAAACTCGAATCTAATTCTATTTCACAAACCTCTAAATATACCTACATCCACTACCTTTTTACTACAAACGTCTTTCATTGTTTCTCAATGTACAGCAGCCATTTCAAAACTTTAAAAGAGATTTCTTCTCCTTGACCTATACTAGCACAAAATGCAACTAGCTGTTGAAAACCAAACTCTAGGTGTCCTAGCACACTCTTTTCTCAATCACCTACCTCAAAATATAACTTATGTGCACATCCTCTCCTCTCCCACCCCACTGCACCTTGCTCCCCAGTACCAGCGTAGCCAGTAGCAAACACTTCTGGTTATTTCTTCACCAACATCAGCAACTTAATAGGGCTCAAAAACCCTCTCTTTTAGAAAGTTTGCCGGATTCTTGGGGATCTTATAATGACTACAGAGGAGTGGCTGGTTCCCCATTCCCAGCATGCACCCTGATGTCACTGGTAGACAGAGCTCTATTCCAGGTTTCCATAGGTGCTAACTGCTATCTCCTTGCAGGCAGAGAGACCCAGATTCCTAGAAGAGGAGACAAACTATCTAGCACTGGGAAATCTTTCTTGCCATAGCAAAAGCAGTTCTGGCCCAGAAGCTCTCCTCTCCTACTCCCTCAACACAAGAAGCAAAAATTGCAGGCAATCTTTTCCATGGTTTCTGAGAACACATGGAAATGTGCTGAAGGACCCATAGGGTCAGGAGGAAAGGGGACCAAACGGGCTGGGAAATGCAGCCTGTTGTGCCAAAAGACAAGTTACAACGCACCTAATGAATAAAACAAGCTGCACCACATACAGAAAAGATGAGAGCGGCCCACCTGTGTCTGTTGAGGGATATTTACAAAGCTTGGATCCCGTGGTCCAACACTGACGAATCGGTTTGCGGGGGAGGTGCTGGGTGTCGAGTAGGCTGTGAAGGGAAGGGACACATGCGTTCAGGAAGCAGCACGAGATTGCACACACAAACAACACCAAAACACACAGTCTCCGAGCCTACGCAGCTGATTAACAAGGAAATGTGCAAACACTGTAGCTAGCAAAGGGATCTGGCTAGCAAGGGCATTTTAGACGTTCAAAAAGGGAAGGGGTGTTGGTTTCCGAAGACTGTTGGAATAAAACGATGTCAAATTGGTGCTCAGTTGAGCTCTTTTCTCCTTGCATTGTACAAATTAGAACATGCAGGACATTTGCAAAGTTTACTTTCTGAGTTAAACACGAGCTCTGAGATCAGAAAGAGATATCCTAGTTTATAGAGCACAGGGAGAAAGAAATTAGGTAGAAAAGGGAGGAAAGCAGTTCTTTTTCCAACCTTGCTTTTCACACTATTACACTCCAGAAAAATCATGAAACATTCCTGCACCTCTATAGCTAAATATTGAAGAGGGGTCTTTATAGAAGGGAGTATTGGGTTCTCCAGAAAGGAGGTGAAAAGTCATTTAGAACAAGCTGTCTTTACAGGTACGAGAGAGTCTAGAACCTTTATGATGAATAACATGCTTAAAATATTAATATTCGTAGTCTTCCTGTCCTAGGACCCACTCTTTTGGGCATTAACTCTAGGGTGTCACACTGGAACCTCCGATACCATACTTCAGTTTACTATCATTATTACAGTACCCAGAAATTCTGTTGTTGGTTTTTATATTTATATTTAAGAACATCACTCTACTTTAGTGCGGAAAACATTCAGTGGCTTTGGTGTTTCATTGGCTCATAAATCCAAGTGTACATTTTTCTGGTGTCCTACAATTTCCTTTTTTACTACAAACTCTGAGGATTTATTTATACTCTTTCTTTGTACTAGAAGTTTGAGATATACTATTACTTAATTTCAAATTTCTAAGCAATACTTGTAAAAGGCCTAAGTTTTCTGGACAAACTCTAGACACACACCATCTAAAAGATGAAAAGGATTTGCAATTTTAAAAACAAAGATAATTGAGGGAATTACACCAAATTTCTTTCCCAGATTTGTTTTTCCTTATTGACATCATCTGCTCTTATTTTGATTTTCTGTTTTACTGAAAACTGTGCAGACTTCTTGTTCCCGTTGTTAAATATGTCTAGAGAGAAAGTTCCCAGCAACCTAGTCCAAGTCCTGTTGGTCATCTTTGGGAAGAGCTAAGTCATCCACTCAGATCCATTGACAGTCATGTGGTGTAGCTGTGTCAAACCTGCACTGAACAGAGGGGGTACATGAGGGTCCTCTGATATTAATCAGAAAATTTATGTTGTTGTAGTGTTTGTTCTGGTAGGAGTGGTCCAGAAATAGCTTTATATCAAACGATCTAAAATATGTGATGTGTTGTACTGTCTAGCAATGTGAATCTACTAATTTCCTCCCTGGCCCATCCTATGTCAGACTAACTTGAACTGATTTAGGAAATACTTCTGCATTTAGCAATTCTGTAGGCACCTCTCACTCAATGGTATAAGGGAAATTTAATTTTTTTCAAAGCTCAAAAATGCTCTTTATTAATTGCTTTGTTTAGTCTATTGCTTTGATATGCTTGATATACTTTAATAAGTCTCAACTGAAAGTTTTATATTAAAAATGACGGATTATAATAACCTGGCAGTGAATTTACCTGCTTCTAGGGCAAACAGAAGATGTAGGGGAGATAAGGAGGAAGTTAGTAGATGAAACAACCTATTAAACCTGCTAGTGGGTAGGGGAAAAAAAAGTTCTTTCACATGTGAACAGGTAGGTAGGTTGAGAAGGAGCACAAAGGCTTAAGAGATGCTAAGGTACTAAGACTAAGTGGTTAATGACAGATGCTGGAACACAAGTGCTTGGTTTGATGGTCCTAGCGGAACTGGGTACACAGGCCTGCAAACAATTTAGCCACTGAAAATTACTATGAGGCTAACACCATATATTTTCCCTTCTTCAAGTATGGGACAAACCTTGCAGTCTTGGTTTCAAAGCATCTCAGAAGGCCTTTAATATTCTCATAGGTTACTAAAACAGCTCCAAAGTTTATTATAGTTTTTAAAAAAGAGAGCAATGGTGAGAGAGGTGGTAGTGCAACTGCATTTTTAAAAAGGATATTACAACTACAAAAACCTGAGAATTGCTCAGTGTCCAAGTTATCAAATGGAACAAATGGTGCCCAGGGAAATTTATTCTATAGAAAGCTATGTTATGGGAAAAATCAAGGACACAGGAAAAACAAGAGAAGGAAGAAAGAAATTCTGACTCATCTTCCATTATTGTGGCTACAATAGGCGGAGGGTTCACCTATAACAGGATGTAGTTCCAGAAATGATATAACATAAGTTGAATTTGTTTCCCAAAGAAACAGTGGAATAAGTGAGTTATATTTTTGAATAAAAATCTCAAATAAAACTTTTTATTAAAACAACTATTTATACCATAGTGAATCAATTATACATGCACAGCTAAGAGCTTTCAAGATGAATATAAAAATCAAGTAAAGGGGGCAGTGTGGTAATTAATTATATAAACTATGTTTATGCTATTATATCACATTCATATCTTTCCTAATTATAAATCTAGCCTTATTTATAATAGCAATAATCAAATGCTGGAGGAAGAGCTTCAGGAAATCATGAAATCCAGAAAATAATTTTCTGGGAAGATTACTGTAGGCATTTTTCAGTATCTGGAGGAAAAATTCAAGGGCACTTGATAATTTTCTGATAAAGTCAACAGGGAACTCAATTTGCCTATATCATCTCATTATAAAAGTCCTCATGGCAAACATGACAATCAGAAATCAAATTATTGATTATTTGGCAGCTCTGAAACAGAGTATTTGAATTTTATTTATTCATTTAGCAGTCATTTTACCTACATGAGCAATATCACCATGGACCATTTTCTTAACATTACTGAAGAACATTCCTATAAGAAACTTCCACAAGCTTTTATGTGTACTAATACAATCATATTTTTCCTCTATCTAATGTATCTAAGAGTCTTCGTTTGGTCTTAACCACAATGGTAAGTATCAAAATCCCAAACCAGAATTTGATCCACATTCAGAAAACCCCACTCTTCTGTGTTACCCACTTATCATACGCACTGCTAACTGCATTGTATATAACCTTCACTTAGGCCAGTGATTTTCAACTGGGGTGCCACGAATATTGTGAAAACATGCAATACCTGGCTATTTATTCAGGGGCACTGACCCCTCTTCCCTTTGATTGTAAAATAAATAAGTGACAATGGCCAACGCAACAATAGCCATCCGGTATGAATGAATAAAAATTATACCTATTGTTTTGTCAGATCGGCAAAAAAATATTGTTTTTTGGGTGTGCCACAGAATTTTATTAATTAGCTTATGTGTGCTATGAGATGAAAAAGGTTGAAAATTGCTGGTGTAGGCAGTATAAGCCCTGGTCAGTACGATCAGTTAGGGGAATGGTTCAAGAACAGTTCTTTCTTTACACGCAATAGCTTTACGGGGCCCGTGAGAGCCCTGGAACTGTCTCTCGGGGAGCTGTAGACTGCCTGGGGAGCGCGGCAGAGATCGCGCAGGAGCACTGCTCTCAGCGCCCACGCCGGTGTCCCTGGGAGGCCCTAGCATCTGGGTCCTCAGAAGCGGGTGCAGCTGACGGCCTGTGAGCCAAACAGAATGTCAACTTTGGCCAAGTTCTGTTCTGTTTGATTTTCTTTTTTTGAATAATAAGAAATAAGGGATGCGTCTGGACAAAGGACTCATAATTCCAGATGACTCAGTCGAGTCTGTAGCAGCCCTCGCCCAACCATCAAAACTGACCAGGGTGTGAAGGAGGTGGTGAATTGTTTCAAATAAATATGCTTGGAGTTTTCCTGTTTTTGGCAAACAAATGATTACAGAAAAAGATATTAAGATATTAAGATGTTAAAATATTTGTACCAATGTCAGCTGATGTTAATTTAAGGTAAGAGCCATATCAATAAAGTCACTAAAATCTGACAAAGTAGGCAGACAGATTCAAGGTCTAGGTCACACTGAGCAACCACTGAAATATATGGAATCACTGAAAGGCAAAAAAAGGGAGAAAACTGCAATAGATCTGTGTGGAGTGTGAGTGTGAAAGGAGAGCTGTCCTGTGGATGAAGCCCCATTCCCCGGGCGGCGGCGGTCGGGGGCCGGGGGGGCGGGGCCCATTCACCGGGGCTGCAGCGGTCTGAGTGGAGCGACCGCCAGCTCCTCCGCAGAAGCTGGGGGCAGATGACAGTGAGGCACCTTGGCAGAAAAGAGAATTTAAGAGACCTGGTGACCTTTGAGGTTCTGAACTTGCTTCTAGACACAGGAGCAACCAAGTCCACTAAATCCTGGCAGTCTGGCCTACAAACTGACATGAAGTTTCAGGAGAGATTTGTGTTGTTTCATTGGAGACACAGACTATATGAAAGGAGTGGACATGCTCTTCTCCATTCCCTTAAACCCCAAGTCTAACCTCTGGAGTGTATCAAAGAGGGCTATTTTAATATATTCATATTCTCTCTCTCCGTTCTCTCTTCTCTTGCTCTCCCTCCTCTCCTCCCCGCCTTCCTCCCTCTCTCCTTCTCTCTCTCTCTGTCTGTGCCAGACCCTCTACTGATCATGAGGCAGATACAAAGGTGAGTAGGACACAGCGCTTTCCCAAAAATGTTAGAGTCTAACAGGGAGAGATGAGTACAGAACATGAAAATATGAGTGCCTAAAAGTGATAGAAATAAAAATCTGTGGGGTTGTTAAAGGACAGAAAAGGCTTTACAGAGAAGATGGAGACAGCTTTAGAGAGAAGCTGGAGAAGATGTGTTGGTGGACAGGTTCGGAGGGATTAGGGTCACACAGGAAGCAGCAGATGCAAAGGAGCAGAGGAAGGATTCAGAGGCATCAATTGCAGAGGGGGCGGGAAAAAAGACTAGATGTTGCAAGTAACATTTTGCCATACTGTAAGAGCAGG